GTCATGGATGGTCCAGGATCGATCATATCATGATATTTGCGTTATCGAACAGCCGGGAGGTGTGATGGATGGACAAAGGTTTGTTCACAGGCAGAAACAAAATTTTACATGCGGGAACAAATTAAACAGACGTTATCCCGAGCGGGTGGATGAGCCCGTAACCAATCATATAGTGCTCGTTTGATCTTGCCTGCTCGTGGGACCAGTAACACACGGGAAAGCTTCTTTACTGGCAAAAATTCGTTTATTCAGCGACCTCAAAGACGAGTGGCTCATCTGGCCATCAAATATTCCAGTCCCGAATAAAATACTGCAGAGTCCTTTTTCATCTAATTCAGTAGTCGGCCAGCACCAGTTAAACATCTCCGGGTTTTTCACAACTGACTAGTAACGAATAATGGCTATTAATAATAATAGCCTGCATAGACGGCTCGAACTTCCATGTTTTTATGAATTACAAGCGTCGCGCGCGCGCCCTCCAAAATAGAAAAAAAGTAAATTGTACTCTTGAACAACGATTTTTGTGGTCAGTCACTTTTTAATTGCAAGGTGTCACCTGAATGGAGGTTAACCAAGGTTTCGGGACCCAGAAAAAGTGTCCCTTTCTTCTCAATAGAGGATCAGTAGAGATAACAAATACAAAGATTATGTGAACATTTTTCCGGGACCAAATCTTGCGTCCCCTGAATGGAGCTTGAGGTGTCCCTTTAATAGAGGTGTCCCAAAAATGAGATTCCACTGCAGTGTGAGGCAGTCTTTTTTCGAGGGTGGCGATCTTTCGAGAAAATATCTTCCCTTTCCCTTTTAGAAGGGGAGGGTGGGGAGGAAGGAAAAAGGGCACCTGGAAGAAATGCGATCTTGAGAGTGCGGTTGCCGAAATGCGTTTTCCGCGAAATTCCTCTCATTTTGGACACGTCTAATGATGGACTGCGTTGCAATGAACCGCGGAGCAGTTTAAGGACTGGTACGTACTATGAGAGCCATCTTTGTAAGAAAGATTCTATGCCCGCTAAGTCCCTTCACTACAAGTTCAGAAACTTATACTACCCTACCCTAGTAAGTGTGTGATGCTCAGCGGGGGAGGAAAAACAAAAGTTCGCTTGGGACTGGTGGAGAGAGAGCAGCGAATCGACTGAAAAACGATGCTGTGAAAACAGTTTCTAAAGAAACGAGCGGATCCCGAGAGGTTTTTCGGGATCCGGGAGTGATGACCGGGACTCAGGATTTCAAAGCAACAAGGGAGCAAGATCGGAGAGGCGGAATTATGGGATTGAACGAAAATTCTGGTCGGGATGACGGGATTAAAGATTAGGGGACCCTCGATTATAGAACAGCAAAGCAGGAAGCAATTCCACAATTTTATTGTTGTTGGGGAACATCGTGAAAAGAAAGGTGCACAGAACACAACCTAACAAAAGAACAGCCTAGTCCCTAGGCGTGCTCTCTTGCCCCGTTTTCCGTGCAAAGTCTGGGAAAGAGCGGGCGAGAGAACTTCTCGGCGAGTATCTCTCGGTGACGTCATCGCTCACGTTAGAGTCCAGCATTGACTGAGCCGAGAACGCCTATGGACTAGACTGACAAAAGAAGTGATTTTCTACAAAAAGACAAGAGTTCTCTCTTCGCAGCACTTGAGGTGGTCCGAGAGTCTTACATACTTTTCTACAGTACACCACACTTGTTTCAAAAGTAACAAGGATGTGGCGAAATCCCGGCTGAAAGCAGGGTCGTAAACTTGCCCTGAGAGATAGAACTGAATGGGATGAAAGTCGTCAAATACTGTATCGAAGTGAGTCACTGGCTGCACTGGATTAACGAATATCTACACCTTAGATAGATTGTCATTTCTCGGCTGTTTAAGTCACATTTTTTCCACAAATAATCTACGTTTTAGCCACTGATAGAGACCTCCACACAATAGGAGTTTTCAATCTCTCAGAGTGAAGTTTGCAGATTTCGTGCACACAGCATCTCTTCCAGCCAAACTACCAGCAAAGTAGTTTACTTGTGTCTGCAATGAGCATATATTTAGTTTTTTGAAAATCCACCTTTTAAAATAGCAAAGCGGAAATCGGGACAAGTTCGCATAAGGTCTTCGAAAATTTTCGCAGGTGGTAGCTTTGGAGGTATTAATTTTCATCATGGTATACCGTTGCCATTTTCATATTATTTACGTTATTTTGCGACAAGTTTGCCTAATGGAGCCCCAAGCCATACTTTAAATTTTTTAAAGCCGCGCCAATGAATAAACCCAAAATAAATTCTTTTATACAAACACCAATGAAATACAAGGCGAGCTTTTCCCGCGAAAACCTGATAACTTTACATATGAAAATAACTATGTTTTCTTCACATGTCAAAAGATCATCGTTGCTATGGGTAGATAAGAATTCGCGCTTTTGGAGCAAAAAAACCTGTTAAAAAGGGAAATACTTTGGCATTTCATTGGTGTTTATTTGAAACAGAATATTACATGGCAGCTTGGAGGTATGAAATTTCGAGACCAGAAGAGTCTTGAAATTGAACATAGAGGATACTAATTAAGTGGCAGCGGGGAAATACGAAATTTCTCCTCTCGTGTTAAAAAATATTTCACGGGTGAGCGCAGTTTAGGTGTGGCTGCTTCAGCGACCACCAGCCTTAACGCTTCATTTAACCTAATATCTATTGTCTCGTCATTAATATATTGTCTCTCCGAACCACTCCTTTGAAGTGAAATAACTGAATATGTTATAACTATTTTTGTCAGACAGTCATGGTCGAGCAGTCAAGGATCGTGATATTGGCTTATTTACCAAGCGTGAAGTCAGATGGCTGGACATTAGGATTTCTCAGAGACTTCACCAAAAAAATAAATGCCTTCTTAATGCCAACGTAACGGAAGTTTATTAACCGGAAATCAGACGTAAGTCTGGCCTAAATTCTCGGTTTCGATTAGTTTTTAGACTCAGTTTAAATTGTTTCAGGTCCCCCCATAAAGTACTCTATAAATGCATTAGTTGGAAAGCATATTGGCAATTTTTTATTTTCATTCAAATTTTATGCTGTGAAAAGCTTGTTTCATTGTAAATATACTTAATTTGACAGTTTTTGTAGACAAAGATTTTTTATATTTAATTTGCTTGCAAGACATTCGAAGTCTCGAAGCTATTAGATTGGCTTCCACTGACCAAGAGTCTTTACCCTTCATTTTCCCTCATGAGCAGCAATTGTCTCATCGCTATTATTTTTGTTCATCTCCTCCTTGTATCCGTCCTTTTAAGACTGAATGTATTATTCATGTCTAAAATTTTCGCCACAGTCATGGTCCAGGATAATATCATGATATTTGGGCAGCTGAGACAGTCAGCCGAGAAATCAAACAAATGAATAAACAAAGGATTTGTTTTATGGCCGAAAGAAAATTGTACTTGCTGGAGCAAAACAGACGTTAGAAACCTTAAGATTGAGGTTTTGCGGCATTTCCCGCGAGCGGCAAACGTCAAGAAGTCACGTGACTAGTACCTTGGCGTCAGGTTTGCGGTTTGAGGTTCACGTTTGTACGGCTAGATCACGCTCCAGAGGTAAGTGATTTACCCGCAAGGTTTTTTGCACTCTAAAACAGCACACTCCCGCGTTTGAGAGAAAATTCTCCTTTTTAGAACTCTTTCGCTAATTGAATATTGAACTATATTTCAGAGAAACGTAACTTTGGAGACGATTCCTCAGCTTAAATAGAAGTGAACGAATGAATAAAAACAAACATGGCAGCTGCGAGCTACAACTTCGCGAATCTTAATTTCTAAATATGGGTAGACGGATAGCGTGAAACCTCTAACCGCAAACCCCGGATCGCCGTTTGCGGTAAGATGACCAAACCTCGATCTTAAGGCCTCTATTAGAGAGGTTAAGCCTCACACTTTTGTCAAACGGGAAACGCGAATTTGCAAGTGACCAAGTTTCTCATTAACCGTCGTTTTCCCTTTACGTGAAACTTAAACTTTCTATTAAGATTAACGTTTACGCCAAATTGTACCACGTGACCAAGTTTCCTCCTTAATTGTCGTCTACTGTTTATTAATTCCACTCAAAAAAAGTCGTTTCACGCCAGTTTTATCCATAAGAATTGTTCTTCATGTGCTTATTTTCTATTCTGAGAAATTCTGAACTGACGTTCGCCTTTTGCAAATAAACGTGACTCTTAAACTCCCTTATCTTCAAATAATCCTGCACCAGTAAAACATCTCCGGTCTTTTCACAACTAAGTAGTGATGAATAATGCATGTTGCCTATATGGACGACACGAACTTCGATGTAGTTTATAAAAAAAACAAGCGTCTAGCGCCCTCTAAAAAAATAAAAATAAGTGTAAATTGTTATTAATTTTATTCTGTGTACTCACGAAGCACTTATGAGTTCTTAAGAAGACTGTTAAGCGTGTCCGTGCGTTCCCGATGGAATTGGAATTTGAACTTGCTAATGGTTTTTAGGAGAGGGGGAAAACCGAAGTGCCCAAAGAAAAACCTCTCGGAGCAACTGGAGAGAACCAATAACAAACTCAACCCACATATGGGGTGGACGCCAAGACCGGATTTAAACCCGAGCGACATTAGCCGTGGGAGGCGAGTGCTCTCACCTCTGCAGCTGAAAAAAGGCACTTCATCAATTCAACTATCCCAGCTTAATCTCGAAAGCCACACAGAGGGTCCAACTAATTGCACTGACTCAGATAAATATCAGTATAGCTCATTTGATCTCTATCATAATCTGCCGGCTTTACGGAAAAATATGTACACCATTTTTATTCAGTCTCCACGCCAATTAGAGTTTAGGTGGATTTCCACTGTCGCGTACTGATTTTTACGTGCGTACGCAAGTAAATGTTACGCGCCTAAATAAAATAGAGGCAATGTATGAATTAAAGGTCGCGCATAACGTAAACACCTCGCTCAACACCTACTTTTACGATCGACTTTTCATAGTTGCCGTTTATTTACGCACGTAAAAATTACGCGGAAGTGGAAGTCCACCCTTTGTTAACAGTAATAAATCGGAGATAAAATTTTGTTACCCGACGCGTACGACTGGGTGGATCTCCATAGACTGTTTTATATCGCCACTTTGGTTAGGGTCTATGGAAAAGCCGGAATCCAGAATCCGGAACCGGAGCCGGAAACGGAACCGAAACCGGAACCGGAACCGGAACTGGAACTTAAATTGAGAATAGGGTAAACTGGGAAGCACTGAAACCAGTTCCCGATACCCGTGTGGAAATAAAATTCAAGATGGCGTCCTCTGTTATCATTGTTTTGAGAAATTTTCAGCACAGTGATCGTGATACCAAAGATATATTCACCGCGCGAAAGAGCTTACGTTTGGTTATTTAGTACACGCATGTGTTCTACTTTGTCAAACATTCTTACACATCACGCTTAGACACTTTTACCAGAAAAAACAAACAAACAAACAAAATATTCAGTTGTAATTTACATGACTTTATAAAAAAAAGAACATAACCACTAAAATTCAAAGAATCAGCCAATGCTGTTCCGCCGCAGACTCGAGCATAAATTCAAGGCACAACAACTTCAAATTTTGACACGTACTCACATTTCAGTCGATTCGTCGCTTTGTCGCGATCTGTAAACGAAAACAGATATGTTTTTGTAAAATGGTAACATTTTTTCAAACTCAGTAAAACGGAAAAGAATGAAAACTTTTATATTCTTACTCGTACCTTTTCTTAAAACGAAGAAAAATTTTGCGCCGTACGCAAAAAATGCGACAGTAAAAAATATAATAACAATAAATAAATATAATGTGGGGATGAAAAGTCTTGATCGAGCAATTATTGTTAGTGACACTCTCAAGAGAGAAACGTCTCCAATTTTTATTTCTTAGTTTCGGGTTCGGGTTCGGGTTCCGGTTCCGTTTCCGTTTCCGGCTCCTCTTCCGGTTCCGGATTCCGGCTTTTCCATACGCCCCTTTGGTTATATTTGATACCTGAATTTCCAAACCGGTCCCAATGCATTACATGATTCTAAAAGACAAAAGTTTACTTAAAATTTCGCTTTTTATAGTAACCCAGGTTGAAGTTGGCCATTTTCTGGCTCCCTGCTGTCCATGGTTTTAAGCTTCAGTGCCCTTTGGCAACACGCACACAAAAGAAATTTTCCACGAACAGTATATCGGATAACTTGATAAATAGACGCACCGGTTAAAAATTTCGGTTTCTGGACCTCTTGGTACGTGTAAAAATTGACTAGAGAGTGTATCGGGCATGGGATGACTGGCAGGGTGTGTAATGTACATTTAAGCGAGTTAATTAGATACTTTCGCGAATATTAACCTTCAATTCCTCGCTATTTATCGCTTCAACAGCTGCGTTGAAGGTTTTTGGAAATTGCAACAGCCGGGATTTCTCGACAAAACTACTTATTTTTATATAAGCTCGAGTTCCTTTGTCCTTTTTGGGGGGAATATATTACATAACCTCCGAATCAACTTTCTGAAAAGCTGGGTGCGGCTTTGATTGTTTGAAGGGAAGAACGGGGCTATTGGACAGCTAATTAAGATGGGAGGGGATTATGTATTAATGTACAAGGGGGATAAGTGACTTATTCTCCTTGCATATCAATACATAATCGCCTCGCATTTTAATTATCTTTTCATAAAGTACAAATGCTTATTGGAAATATTAACACGACGCTACAATTACTAAACCTAAACTGAGCTGCGTTTGTTTCGCGCCACATTCACGGATTTTCTTAGTAAGTGGTTAATCGATTTCCGAAATTGAACAGTGTCTTTAAAATCCTACGGTTCTACGAAAGCGTCGCTGTCGTATATAGAGGCAGGAGCTCCTGATAGAGGATATTACATCGCCGCGCGGAGTCGAGATACGAAATTTCTCTTCGAGTGTTGAAAAATATTTCACGAGTGAGCACAGCGAACGAGTGAAATATTTTTTCAACACGAAAAGAGAAATTTTGTATCTCCAAGTGGCCATGTAATGTTCTATTATTATATAAACACCAATGAACTACCAAACCACTTCACTTGAATAGTTTTTTGGTGTGAAAGGCGCGATCTATTATGTAGCCATAGCAACGGTGATATTTTCACGTGAAGATTTTTCACATGTGAAGATATCAAGTTTTCGCGCGAAAGCTCACCTGGTATTTCATTGGTGTTTTCATTGGTGTTTTGGTGCTTTCGCGTGAAAGCTCACCTGGTATTTCATTGGTGTTTATATAACTAGTAATAGTTGACACTACAGCTGCCCTCGCTCTGTATATTGTCGGGCAATAGTATTCTTGCTCGTTGTGTAGCTCTTTGAAATATACCGATTTCGTAATGAAGATGTTCACACATATTCCATACAATTATAAGTGAGATAAATTCAGGAAACGCAAGGTTCCATGCACAGTTTTGGTTCGATTTACACAGCTTTGATCAGTACATTCTCAGTTTCGAGAATAGTTTATTCTAAACCATAAGAAAAGATTTAATTAGAAGTTTAATTTTTCGTTATTTCTATTTCACTTTTTATATTTAGTTCATTTTATTTGCCGGAAAGTAAGCCTTAGAAATTAAATGGACGTTTGATCAAATCACGCTCGCGCATTCTAGTCTTATTTTAAACTTTATAGCGGAGGAACATCTGTGAGCAGGGAATAAGCCAACACAGAATTTGATGATCGGCGAATTTCTGTAAGCAACCATCGTTCTGCTCGTGATAAGCTAGCCACTGAATCATTCACTCGTCTCGCTTGTTTGGGGCCGAGTCTTATTCCGGTCAAAGAAAGAGAAAGAGTGTCTGGCAAGGTTTCCAATCAAAGATTTGTGAACTCGTGTCTGGCAAAACTCACTTGGTGTTAAAATATACACTGTTATACGCACCTTATAACTTCATCTGCGCTTAACGAGTGTCGTTTGGTCCATAACTTTCATAACAACTGCTCCACAGAATGTCACTGATAACACGTAACGCGGAAGACTCGAAGTATGACTGCACAATTAATGTCACAAAATCTACCTATTGTAAGCAGTCTCTTCGGGATTTTTTGTGCTTTTCGTCATCCTAACCATTTTGTACTTGCGGGCGTAAACAATAGAAACGTCATCATTAGCTACCGGTTCCTCGCGGCCCCCGTTCTAGCAAATCGAGATTTTTTCTATATTGACTGTATGACTGTATATTTCAACTGTAAGTACTTTCCTTAATATACGGGCGAGTTACTAGAATGCCTCCTAGGGATTTCGCCTTCTGGGCGAAATCCCTGCGGGGGCAATAAAAGGTGTTCCGTTCTTTAACCAGTCATCTCAAACTCATGTACTCGATGAGGACATGTTAGTTGACCTCTTTGTGTTTTGTGGTATTCTTGCTTCATTCCTCGACCGAATTTCCCTGTCAGTTCCAGTACAGTGATCCCTCGCCCGGAATCTTCTTTATCTGTAAACATGTAGGTCGGTCGAAAGANTTCGTTATTTCTATTTCACTTTTTATATTTAGTTCATTTTATTTGCCGGAAAGTAAGCCTTAGAAATTAAATGGACGTTTGATCAAATCACGCTCGCGCATTCTAGTCTTATTTTAAACTTTATAGCGGAGGAACATCTGTGAGCAGGGAATAAGCCAACACAGAATTTGATGATCGGCGAATTTCTGTAAGCAACCATCGTTCTGCTCGTGATAAGCTAGCCACTGAATCATTCACTCGTCTCGCTTGTTTGGGGCCGAGTCTTATTCCGGTCAAAGAAAGAGAAAGAGTGTCTGGCAAGGTTTCCAATCAAAGATTTGTGAACTCGTGTCTGGCAAAACTCACTTGGTGTTAAAATATACACTGTTATACGCACCTTATAACTTCATCTGCGCTTAACGAGTGTCGTTTGGTCCATAACTTTCATAACAACTGCTCCACAGAATGTCACTGATAACACGTAACGCGGAAGACTCGAAGTATGACTGCACAATTAATGTCACAAAATCTACCTATTGTAAGCAGTCTCTTCGGGATTTTTTGTGCTTTTCGTCATCCTAACCATTTTGTACTTGCGGGCGTAAACAATAGAAACGTCATCATTAGCTACCGGTTCCTCGCGGCCCCCGTTCTAGCAAATCGAGATTTTTTCTATATTGACTGTATGACTGTATATTTCAACTGTAAGTACTTTCCTTAATATACGGGCGAGTTACTAGAATGCCTCCTAGGGATTTCGCCTTCTGGGCGAAATCCCTGCGGGGGCAATAAAAGGTGTTCCGTTCTTTAACCAGTCATCTCAAACTCATGTACTCGATGAGGACATGTTAGTTGACCTCTTTGTGTTTTGTGGTATTCTTGCTTCATTCCTCGACCGAATTTCCCTGTCAGTTCCAGTACAGTGATCCCTCGCCCGGAATCTTCTTTATCTGTAAACATGTAGGTCGGTCGAAAGATCCTCGGTGCGAAATTGAAATTGTCCACTGCTTGCTCGTTGTCTGCACCCGCAAATGAAGATTCAAAATTGTTTCCCGAAAGCTCAATAGCCCCTTTTACAGTTAGCGGGTGCAAACGAAGCTGGAGTTGATCTTGTTTTAATACAACCCTTCCTGCTTTATTACGTAAGTCAAGAGGTTTGTATCAAAACAAGGTCAACCTGAGCCTCACATTCACTCAAAGGCTAGGATACTACGCCCACAACTGTAAAATAGTCTATTGCAGTACTTTAGTTTGAACAGGAGCCGGCTAAGTAATCGAATAGACAGAAATTATTGCATCATTACTTAGATTAGAGCGCAAACAAAAAAATTCTTCAAATTCATTTCGAATTGGTATATTTTTCTTTCTTTCTTATTCATTTGGAATTGAAATGATCAAGACGTTCATACAATCCCGTAGTTCCCTCAAAAACCATACCCGATTCCAGACCAAAATGGGCAAAGTGTATCCCCGTTTTCAGACCAAAACGGCGCAAACACCCTACCCGATGGGGCGGCACATACTTATATAGCTTATATAAGGGAGTACCCCCACCCCGGGTTCTGGAATAACGAGCTCCTCTGAGCCCTGAAGTTTAAAGAGAAAAACTTGGTCATTCAATACAGCGGAAATTCTTGTCTTTTGCCGTAGGTGGAGCTTCTTAATTACTCTTGTTGTTATTTATAGGCTTTGATAGTTTGTGCTAGAGTCTCCGTCAAAATTGTTGGGACACTTTGCTATCTTCTTCCCTCCCAATGTTGGTGTGCAAAATGTGGTGAGCTAACTGCGATAAACAACATTGGGAGGACGAGGGGACGGGCCAGAAGTGAAAAAAAAAAGTGTTGGGTGGAAGTGTCCCAACTATTTTTGTCTGAAACCGTGTTGGAGAAGGAATTTAAGGAATTTGAAGAGTTGTTGACAGATACCGAGCTGAAGTTGTAATTCGGTCGCAGACGCCTCTGTAGTGTGTTGCAGGGATGTCTGTAGTGATTTTGCGATCAAAGTTTCTACAGCAGTGAACAGAGTTACTTTCATGGATCGGCTTTGATGTAAAGACAAACGTAACACTGAGAATTCCCAGTTGTCGAAAATATTTACTAGTCATGGATATTAATTTGGAAAAAATAGCATAACGTCAAGTGA